TTTCATTTCCTCTTGTTTTTTTTTTTTTCATATCTCATTGGAAAGGTTTTTTTGCTTGGGTTGTAATATATATATATATATATATATATATATATATATATATATATATATATATCTCCAAGTTCCATGCTTCTCCATCTTTTCTCCTATCACCCTTAATCATGACACTGCTGCAATGGATTCTAAAAGGGTCGCCCTTCTTGCACTCCTGGTTTCCTTTCTTTCCTTTCTTGGCTCCATTCTCCATCCACATCGGACCCCTCTCCTACTTACATAATTTCAAGAGCTTCCTATCACACTTGGCTTAAAAGTTGAACTTACCAGGTATTATATGGGTCCCTTCTCTCTAACTCACTGATTTGATCACTTACCCTTTTCTTTTACCCTTTGATTGTAGCCATACTTCTTTCTGTTTCTTGGCCATTCTAAACATGTGTTTGTCTTAGGGACTTTACATTTGTAGTTTTTCTGCCTGAAATGCTTTGCTCCCAGACCTTTACATGGATAATTTTCTCTTATCAATGAGTTTTTAACTCGGCTGCTATCTGCCCAAGAGCTCTTCATGACAAACCAGTTTCCTATTCACTCTGCCACATCATTTAATTGTATTTACTCGTCAGCATTAATCACTATAGAAAACTGCTTTACTTCTTTGCTTACATCATTAATGTCTTGTCTAGAATATCAGGTCTATGAGAAGCAAGAACCTTGTCTGTTTTGTTCACCAAAACAGTATCCACTGGGTTTAGAAACCTCCCCAACACATAATGCTGAATAACTAAATCTATTATTCGAGCTTCAAACTTGAGAATAGATTGGAAAGGGCAGAAGCTGGTTAGAGTGCAGGAGAAGCACCATTCAGAACACTATTTCAGTGACCCAATGGAGAAATTATTAAAACCTGGACTAAGGGAGTGCAGCTGGGAGAGAAGAGAGTTAAAAGAGAATAAGAAGGCAGACTCTGTCAGGCTCTTGGACTGATTGATTTTATGTTGATTGTAACTTGTTAGCAGAAGAGGGAATCTGGTATAACTGCTCCTTAACAACTAAATGTTGTGGTTTTGCTCACCAAGGTAGAAAACACACCAGGAGGAGCTGGGCTGGGTCCGAAGGGCAGAGAAACTTAAGGCCTAGGTTTTGAAATGTTGAATTTGGGATGCCTGGGGTCCATTTAGATAGAAATATCTGGTGGAAAGGGTGACATACAAGTCTGTTTCTGAACCTCTTTGAAATATTTTTAACTAAATAAATATGTAAATAAAGGGAAAAATTCAAAAAGAATACTAAATTCCAGTAGGAAAACGCTAAGGTCCTTCTGAGCTATATTTCTTGTTATCCCTAGAGTAACTGCAGGTACCCTTCCTTAGCGCTCCCAGAATAATCTATGCTCTTATATAATAATCATAATTTGTTGTTTCCTGAGCTAAATCCTCAATTAAACCATAAGCTCCACTAAGTAGGGCTACATGTGGATCCGTGAATAATAGTGAATAATGAGTAATGTTAACTTTACCCGTTCTAACTTCACCATGTTTTTCCCTTCTTAAGAATTAGTTTCAAATGTCTTAACACAATACACAAAGCCCTATACAATTGTGTCAGAACTTATCTGTCTAAACTCCTCTCTCTCTGTGGTCTCTAAATCCTTGAATGAGCTTGCTGCTGTGCCAAACCAATGGTGTACATTTCTGCGGGGTCTTGAAATTGATTTTGTCAGTGTCTTATAATTATTCCAAGTCAGGGATGATGATTGGCACTAACCAAGCTCACAAGAGACCGATGTATAAAATCAGAATGTCAATGAAATAATTTACATTGAGAAATTTAATTGCTGAGCAGACCTGATGTTCATGTTGGCCTGACCAGCCACATTGTTCCCTTTAGGCAAACTACATGAGAAACCTAATTACCAAAAAGTTGCTTGATGAGTGTATAGTCAGAACAAGAAGGCTTGCATAAGTGGAATGAATAATAGCCTTCTGCTAGCTTGTGGTCAACAGAGTAAGACCTCACATGGGTTCCTCCCATCAATTTGAGTTGGTGCCCTGTCCTTGAGAGTGCTTGGATGGGCAGAGCTATCTGACCCTTTGCATTTCTCTTTTGATATGTTAATAAACTCTGATATGTAAATAAATTTTGATATGTTAATAAATTCTCTTTTGATGTGTTTATAATAAAGGTTGGCTAGACTTGGAGACTTACAGTTTTATTGGGTTGACTGTGTTCATCACTGCTTTAATTATGTGCTGCTTTTATGCTTTAACTCTCAGGAAGTAATGTTCTTTTCTGTATTTCTGTATGTTGGGAGTAATAGTTTTTGTGGCTTATTGGTCCTGCTCAGGTCCAGCTCCTCTGACCACAGCTTCAGTGTCCCCTCCCTCCACTGAAATCCCATGGTTTGTGCTGTGGCCCACACATCTGGTACTTGGCACATGTGGTTTTGATTTCTCTTTAGCTTTTGGTACATTTGTGCTACCTTGTCATGGGTTATGAATTTCCCTTGAACAACAGAAGTCTACATATTAGTACGTATCTGCAGAATTAATTATGAGTGCTGGCTTTTTTCTTTCCTTTCCTTTGCTTTTTTTTCCTATTATTTTCTCAATAGACCATTGAATAGGTCACCTATTCTTTAGGTGGCATCTTATTTGCAAAAAAAAAAAAAAAAATGGAGTTATTTCTTCCATGGCTATTCTTAAGAACACCAGGCATCTTTTAAAAAATATTATTATAAATAAAATAATATTTATTTATTATAAATAAACTTATAATTGTATTTGTTTAAGGAGTATAAAATGATGCTATGATTTATGTTTACAATGTAGAATAACTAAATCAAACTATTTAACATATCCATCATTGCAAATTTTAACTGTTTTTTTGTAGTGAGAACACTTGTAATTTGCTATCTTAGCAATTTTGAAATGTACAATACTCTATTATTAACTATATTCACCTACTCTGCAGACCTAAAAAGAAGAAACCTACATATTCCTCCCTGAGATTTTGTACACTTTGATGATTATCTTTCCATTTGACTTGGTAACACCATCCTACTCTCTATTTGTGAGGTTTATTACTTTAGATTCTATGTATAAATAAGAATATGCAGTATTTGTCTTTTTATGTCTGGATTATTTCAGTTAGTACATTATTCTCTGATTTCATTCTTGTTGATATGAACAACAGAATTTCTTTCCTTTTGTGACTAAGTAGTGTTCCATTGTGTAAATATTTCGTACTTTCTTTATCTTTATGTCTTCTTTTAACAAACTCATCTGTTGATGGATACTTAGGTTGATTCTATAAAACTTGGCTATTGTGAATAGTGCTACAATAAACATGGGAATGCAGATGTCTCTTCCACAAACTGATTTCATATCCTTTGGGTAAATACTCAGAAGTGGGACTCATGGGTTACATGATCATTCTTTTTTTAACTTTTGAGCAATCTCCAATTTATATTTTCACCAGTATACGACGAGGGGATCATTTTTTTCCACATCCTTGCCATCATTTGTTAACTTTTGTCTTTTTGATAATAACCATCTGACAGGTGTGAGATGATATTTCATTGTGGTTTTAATTTGAATTAAATGATGAGCAATATGGACTTCTATTTTGGCTATTTGTATGTCTTCTTTTAACAAATATCTATTCATGTCTCTTGCCCTAAAAATATCGGGATTCTATTAGTTTGCATCCTCTTTGGGGGGAGTTTTCTATTTAAAAACAAAACAATAAAACAAATAAACTCTATCTCCACATAATCAGTGAATAATATATGGCTTTTATAACACAGTGCCAACCACAATGATTTGGACTTTACTTTTTTCAGACCTAGCTTACAGATCAAACAAATGGTCACAATATTTTAATGTATTTGCAATGACATAAAAGAAGGAGATAAACAGAACAAGCTAAAGTTTTTGTGCCAGGATCTGTAAATCTTTGACCTGCCTTAACATCACACACATTGATCCATAGCACTATTTTAATTGATTGAATTAAAAACTAGTCCGAAGTGTGTTCCATAAGCCCTAGTAATACATAGCTGAGCACTCTGGGATTATTTTTCTATTATCTGGGATTCTTATTTAGGAATTTGACCTCCCATATCATACCAATGATATCTAATGATGGTATAGGATTTACATAGTGTCTTAGCAGGAGCTCCAAATAAAGACTTTAAAATCCTGGAGTTCAATCCCTGACATGAAGCTTCACTTACATATGGTGACAGTTTTCTTGACTATGGTTGTGCTGTGGTCTTACAAAGCCCTCCTTGTGTTTATCCGTGGCTTCTATGTAACACAATTTCCTTCTCATCCACATCTTCCCTTCTTAACTCCTTAAAGTAATATTTATAATGTACTTACTATAGGACAAGAATTATGCTAGTTGGTAATAATGCCAAGGTAGGTTGTCCTCATCTTCCAGGAATTAGCAAACAACAGAAGAAACAGACCACTGAAAAGACATTGAGGTTCAGTGTGAGAAGGCAACTGGGGTCAAGTTAACAAAGGATCTAGCTTTTGGTGGTTGGTGTCTCACGTGGCGGTTATTCCAAAGATCAATCTTAATCTGTTTTTGTTCATTAATATTTATTGAGCATCTATTATGCAACCAGGCTCCTCTGATTATTAGAAATACAGTGATAAGTAAGTTACAGAAGACAGACAGACAGGCAGACAACATCTGAGAAATGAACATGAGTACAAGGAAGAAAGTTTAACAGGGTGATGTGATAGTGCCTAATGGTGGAAGGCGTGGAACATAGCTTACATCTGATGGTCAGAGAAGACTTTTCTCTGGAGGTGATAATTGAACTGAGACTTAAATGATAAGGAGGAGCCAGCCATGCAGAGATTAGGCTGCAGTATTTCAGATAGAGAAAGAAAACTCCAGTCTCCAAGACAGTGATGAACCTCTTGCCAAAGGTCAGAAAGAAAGCTAGGGTGCATGCAGCATGGTGAATGGGGGTGAGAAGCAAAGAGCAGATGGGGAAAACCACAGGAAGCCTTTGCAGCCGCCTGAGTGAAGGAGCCAGTGGTAGTGGAGATGGAGAGATAGGAAAATGTGTTTTGGTGCTAGAGATGGTAGTGCCTATTGATGGGGTTAGATGTGAGAAGCAAGAGATGGAAGGGAGTCAAAGATAAATGCCAGATTTGTGAATTGACTACTGGGCAGTTGATGATCCCCTATAGTATAAATGGACACTATAGGAGGATCAGGATTGCTGTTTTAGGAACAGACTTCTATTTTGGTTGCGTTAAGCCTGAGATACCAACTAGGTATCCTATGCACAAGTCTGGAGCTCATTGAAGAATGAGAGGAGAGCTGGGGATCAAGAGCTGAGTTGTTGGCATATATAAGAGTGAGTGTCCCCTCACTTTCAGGGCATATGCCCAAAGACCCTCAGTTGGGTGCCTGAAACAACAAAGTACCAATCCAAATACGTACTTGCTTTTGTCCTATACAGACACACCTATGATAAAGTTTTGTTGTAAATTGGGCACAGTAAGCTATTAAAGGCAATAACTAATAATAAAATAGAACAATTATAACAATATACTGTAATAGGAGTTATGTGAACGTGGTCTCTCTTTTTCTCAAAATACCTTACTGTCTTTCATCTTTTCACTTCAAGAAAGCACTTTATGGCTATTGTGAATAAACATGGGAGTGCAGTGTTTTGTACACAGCAAATCTGAATTGACAGTCTCACTACTCTGGCACTATGGAACCAAGATTAAGTAAAATAAGGGTTACTTAAACAGAAGCACTGTGATATTGTGACAATTGATCTGATAATGGAGCAAGCTTGCAGGTGATTAATGGGTGGGTAGTGTGTGCAGCAATGGATATGACGCACAAAGGGCATCAACTCGTGTCCTAGGTGTGATGAAGAAAGATGGTGTGAGATTTCACTGTGCTGCTCAGAGTGGTGTGTAATCTAAAACTTATGAATTGTTTATTTCTGGTATTTTCATTTGCTGTTTTTGGATTATGATTTACTGTGGGTAACTGAAATTGTGGAGAGCAAATCTGTGGGGAAGGTGGGATTGCTGTAGACAATATTGACATTTAAAGTCCATATCTGGATAAGCTCACTTAGGAGGGTGAGGAAGAGGCCCAAGAACAAAACCCTGGAACCGAAAATATTTGGAGGTCAAGCAGAGATAAGAAGAAGCAGTAAAGGAGAGAGAAGAAGCACCCCGTGAGCTCAGAAAAAAGCCAGGAGAGTGCCGTGTTGTAGAAGCTAACGGAAAATGTCACAAGAAGAGTTTGGTTTTTATTTACTTATTTGTTTATTTATGGATGAAATGGTCAATTGTGTTGACTGCTTTGAGAGGTCAAGTAAGATTAAAAACAGAAGTGACCAGTGGATTTAGCAACATAAAAGTCACTAATGACCTCACTGGGAAGAGTCTCAGTGATGCAGTGAATACTAAACTTCGACTGGGGAGAGTTCAAGATTATAGTAGCTTAATGACAGGTGTGGGCATGTATCATGCAAAGGAGGTTTACTTGGCTAGATCAGAAAGTAGAGGCTATATGTGACATACAATAGAAAATGGAGGGGAGTAGCCCTGTGTACAAAACACTGTAGTGTAGATAAAATATCGGCTGGATTTCATTTCACTTTTTAGGAAGAAGAAAAAATAAAGTGGTTGTGTGGATTCCAGATCATGCATTAGGTTATTGCTTCATTCATAACTCTTGTCTATTGTGCACTGTAGGGCAGACAGAATTGAATAAGGCTCAGGTTATGCTCTCACTATGCTTTCAATTTAAACCCCAAATTTAATATTAAAAAATGAATCATTTACTAAACATGGGTATAAGCATAATTCAGAGGGGATAGAGTAAAATGAATAATTATTCCTGAATGAAAAGATCAGGAAATGTTTCTCAGAAGAATCATTCAAGCTGGACCCCGAAGGAGAAGATTTGGATAGATGAGAGAATGAAATTGAGAACCAGGTTCACAGGGGTACATGTTATTGATTGGGTTTCCTGGAAGGAGATGCTGAATTTGGGATTGGTATGCAGATAGTTTATGAGGGATCAACACCATTAAAAAGAAGGGGAAGGAAGCAGGACTGCACAGAAGGAGGTATCAAACTGCTCTGCAGGCCCAGCCAAGCCTTAGCCCTGCCCACAGAGGGCTGGAGTGCTGCCCTTCCAGGGGACTGCCCTTACAGTAACTCTGAAATCACCTCACCTTCATGAGCCTCCAGCTCAGTCTGTGGTTTGTCTACTGTTCTGCAAGGTGAGACTTGGGGTGAAGGCAAGACACTGAGGAGCCTGGGGCAAGAGGCTAGGTGCTATCTGCAGACTGCACTGCCCACTGCTGGAGAGCAGGTCTTCTGGAAGGGGATCCTGGGTGATGAGTTCACAGAATCTGAGTACCTGGCACATCCTATTGATCTCCAGAGGAGCTGTAACAGACACTAGGATGAAAGACATTTGGGAATGAAGCCAAAGTAGAGATATATGATCATCTCATATCCTGCTTTTGGGAAATTATAACCCCAGGTTCAGCACCAGAACCACTTAGCAATGGCAGTAGCCATGGAACAAACACAGCAACCTAATGAATTGGTGGGTAGGGGTGGGGGGAGATAGACCATACCTCATGTCTATTTTCTTTTGGATAGCAGTATTATTGATGGCTCATTCACACTTGGACACCTTTACTATGATTACTTTAAAATAAAGTGTTTGTAACTGACCCATATCCTCTGTTTTTAGATTAGATATTGTCATCTTTATTACCATATGTGTGTGTTAGACAAAAATGACGACATCAGGGGAATGTATCACCATATATCTTTCAAGTGTTGTTGTCCCAGGGGTGTTTTGTGATTGAATGGATTTGTTTGATTCATTCTCAATTATATGTATGTGTTCTTTATTATCATTTTATTTATTATAATTTTCAATAAGACATATTTGTACATCTTTATATTACATTATGGTAATTTAATACATGTAAAAAATGTGTGTAAGAGTCAAATCAGGGTAATAAGTTTTTCCACCTTTTCAACCAATAATTATTTTTTTTCTCTTGGGAACTTTGTACTTTTCTAGTTATTTTGAAATATATCACAAATGTTTTTAATTTAAAGTCACTCTACTGTGCTAAAGAAGAACCAGAAGTCATTCCTCCAGTCTGTGTTTTGCTGCCTCTTATTCAACTTCTTTTCACCCTCCTCCCTGGCCCTTCACAGTCTCTGGTGACTTCTGGTTTTCCACAAGATTGACATTTCTTCAAATGAGTGAAAACATGTCATATTTTCTTTTTGTGTCTGTCTATTTCACTTAACATAATGACTTTCAGTTTCTTCCCTGCTGCTCCAAACAACAGGATTTCATACTTTTTGCAGACCAAATAGTACTCTGTTATGTAAATATCCAATATTTTCTTTATACATAGATCCATTGAATGGCATCTGGGTTGGTTTCTTATTTTGACTACTATGAATAGTGCTGCAATAAACATGGGAGGGCAACAATCTTTTTGTTACAATGATTTTATATATTTTGGATATATGCCCAGTGGTGGAATTGCTGGATCATATGATAGCTCTATTTTTAGTGTTTTTTTTTAAGACATCTCCATATTGGCTATACTAGTTTTCATTCCCATCAATGGTATATAAGAGTTCCCTTTTCTTTGCACCCTACCAGTATTTATTTATTGTCTTTTTTTATGATAGCCATTCTAAAAAGGGGAGATGGCATCTCACTGAAGTTTTGATTTGTATTTCTGTGATATTGGCCTGTTTAAATTCTCTTTTACTTCTTGATTCAACTTTGGTAGGTAATATGTGTTCTGAAATGTATTCACTTCTAGATTTTTTTTTTTTTTTGCCATTTGTATGTCTTTTGAGAGGTAACTGTTTAGTCGTGTTGCACATTTTTTAATTGGAGAAAAGAGAGTATGTTTTCAGCTATTTTGTATTCTGGCTATCAATCAATTCCTTGTTGGATAAATAATTTGTAAGTAATTTCCCATTTTATAGGTGGTCTCTTGGTTCTGCTGATTATTTCTTTTGCTGTGCCTTTGTTGCCTCCACCTTTGGGGTCCTACCTAAAAAAATCATCACGTATACCAATGCCTTGAAGTGTTTTCCCTATATTTTCGTATAACAGTTTCCTAGTTCAGGTTGACATTTAGGTCACTAATCTATTTTGAGTTGATTTTTGTGTATGGGAAGAAGAAAGGGTCTAGTCCCATTCTTTTGCATATGCATATTCAGATTTTACAATAACATGTACTGAATAGACTGTCTCTTCTCCACTGTTTGTTCTTATGACTATTAAAAAATCTATTGGCTGTGTTAACTTCTGGGTTCTCTATTCTGTTTCATTGTTCTACATGTCTGATTTTATGCCCTTACTATACTGTTTTAGTTACTATACCTTTGGTGCATAATTTGAGGTCAGGTATTGTGGTAACTCCAGCATTGTTTCTTGTTGGCTTTTTTAAAAAATTTGTTTTATTTTGTTTGTTTGGGAGGTAGTATTCCTGGATACTTTACGGTTCCAAATGAGTTTCAGGACTGTTTTTTTCTATTTCTGTGAAGAAGAAGAAAGGCATTGGTATTTTGATTAGAATTGCTTTGAGTGTTAACATAAAAATATAAATATTTTAACAATATTTATTCTTCTAGTTCATTTTTTATGTATTCTATAACTTCTTCATCAGTGTTTTATAATTTTCATTGTAGACATCATTCACTTCCTTGGTTAAGTTTATTCCTAAATAATTTAATTTTGTGGCTGTTATGAATGGGATACTTTCTTAATCATTTTTTCAGGAAGCTCATTTTTGGTATATAAAAATACTACTTTTGTATGTTGATTTGTATCCTGCAACTCTACTGAACTTATTTATAAATGCTAGCAATTTTTTGGTGGTGTATTTAGTTTTTTTATGTATAGAATCAAGTCATCTATAAATATCAATAATTTATCTTCTTCATTTCAATTTGTATGCTGTTTATTTTTTCTCTTGCCTAATTACTCTTGCTAAGAATTCTAGTACTATATTTTAAAAAGTAGTGAAATAAACATACTTGTCTTATTCCTAATCTTAGAAGGTCTTTTAGATC